CGGTCTGTATGTGGGATCCGAACCCGCAGCGGGAGCGCCGCCACGCTCCCAAGCGGCGCACTGTAGCAGTGTGCCACCGGGCTGGCCCAATTTGTTCATTTCTTTTAGGTTTTCTAATTTATTGATATACAGTTATTCATAGCATTCTCTTAAAATCCTTTTTACTTCTGTGTAGTTTGTAGTGATGTTCCCTTTTTCATTCCTGATTTTAGTAATGTGAATCTTCTCTCTTTTCTTGATAGTCTAGCTAAAGATTAATTTTTTTCAAAGAATCAACTTTTAGTTTTATTAATTTTCTCTGTTGTTTTTCTCTTCTCTATTTTGCTGATTAATGCTCTAATCATGATTAATTTCTTCCTTCTGTTTGCTTTGGGTTTAGCTTGCTCTTCTTATTTAGTTTCTTAAGATGGAAGGTTAGGCTATTGGTTTGAGATCTTCTTTTTCAATATAAGCATTTACAGCTGTAAATTTCCCTCTCAGTACTATATTAGCTACATCACAGAAGTGTTGATATGTTGTGCTTTCATTTTCCTTTAACTAAAAGTATTTTCTTTTTCTTTTTTTTTTTTTCCTTTTTTGGTGTCTGGCAATGGATCGCGACCCTCAGTGTCGTGCCGGTACCGGACCGGGACCGGCAACGGGATTGCAAACCTCGGTGCTGCGCCCGCACCTCACTCAGCCAGTGAGCAGGAACCGGTCTGTATGTGGGATCCGAACCCTCAGCGGGAGCACCGCCATGCTCCCAAGCGGTGCACTGTAGCAGTGCGCCACCGGGTCGGCCCGAACTAAAAGTATTTTCTAATTTTCCTTGTGATGTTTTCTCTAACCTACTGGTTACTTAAAAATGTATTGTTTAAATTTCCACATATTTGTGAACTTAGCACATTTTCTTTGATATTATGTTCTAATTTAATTACATGGTTGTTTGAGAACATACTTTGTATGATTTCTGTTCTTTTTAATTTAATGAGGACTTCTTATGGCCTAATATATGGACCGTCTTAGAGATTATTTCATATGCATTTGAGAAGAATGTATGATCTACTGTTGAATGGAATGTTCTATAGATGTCTGTTATGTCTAGTTGGTTTATAGTGTTGTTCATATCTTCTCTTTCCTTGTTGGCTTCTGCCTAGTTGTTCTCCTTAATACTTTTAAGGCATGATTTTAATGTTTCATAAATATGAAAATTTCACTAACAAGATAAAAGATTTGAATGCAAACTTAGGTTATTTTAGTGGGCTATTTAAACAAAATCAAATTAGAAAATTGTTTACTTTCATTACTTTTAAATATTAAAATTTAAATGTAATTTAAGCTCAGTACTATTTTTTCAGATCCGTGATTCTTTTGTGTCTATGTGATAGGATTTATGAGTGAAATGCACTGGAAAAATTTTTTCAAACAGTATTGACACACATCTCAAATAAATTAGCATTTCTGTTTTGATCAACTTGTTTGTTAGGAATTAAAATCTTATTTGCTAATGTGTGGTTGCAATGACATCTCCAAAAAAATCTAACAGATAGCATTGCATCTTCATGCTAACTAGAATTGGTAAGTGGTTAAATTTTCTTTCTTGTTTCTTATTGTGTCATTATTTATTTGCACCTACAAGAATTCTATGAAATGGACATATCAAAAATTTCAGTGGTAGAAAGGCCATGTGAGATCCAGTTAAGTAAAGGCAATTTAAGATGTATCAACATATGAATACCATTAAATTACTTTTCCTCAACTAAAATACTTGACATTTTTGTGCATGGACCATGTGTTTGTGAAAACAATGTAATTTGACTTTGCCTTGCAGTACATAAAAATTATTCTGTAATTTAAAAGTAAACTATTGTTTTGAAATTATTAAAAAAGGCAAATATCCACATTTTAGTGCTTTTTAAAAAATGGTATTTGTAAGTTAGAGTGATCGCTCATTTAATGAATTCTCTCACTGACCATTTTTTTTTTTTTTTTTTTAAAGAGGATGACCGGTAAGGGGATCTCAACCCTTGGCCTGGTGTTGTCAGCACCACGCTCAGCCAGTGAGCAAACCGGCCATCCCTATATAGGATCCGAACCCGTGGCCTTGGTGTTATCAGCACCGCACTCTACCGAGTGAGCCACGGGCCGGCCTTCTCACTGACCATTTTGGATGGCCATTTGGCCTAGGCTGATAAAGGATATGGGTTAGAATGTAGAGGAGAAAATCTATAAGGCATACATGGTGCATATTGCTGGAAAGGTTGCAACATTTCTAGATTATTGGAGGGGATAGCAATTGAGGAGAAAATATGGATTGGGTAACAAACAGCACCTAGAGAAGAATCAAGCAAGAATGTTATAGTGGAAAAAAGTGTAGAAGTGGATGAAGGAGGAGGTAGCAGCAGAAGTCTTTATAGGTCTTGGTAAAGAGGCTGATTCCCAGGAGTGCATTCCTAGGTCTTCTAAATCTAAGTCTAACTCCGGGAGGGATGTTTCTGAATCAAGTGTGTTGTTGGAACACATTCTTTTCAGTAGTATAGTTATTGCAGTAATTGAATTATCTCTTTCCATTTAGCTCTTGTGGCAATACTCTCTGTTGGCAACACTGAACATCCAAAGGAGTGAATGTGATTGTTTTAATAAGTCTTTTCTAATCTTATGAACCGCATTAGGAAAGAGATGATGGATGTGAAAATGCTTGGCATAGTGAAGGGACTGAAGGGCACAAAGTAAGCACTTGATAAACCTTGGCCGATATTAACCTGTCCATAATGTTCTATAATATTTAATAGCATGGGCTAGGGAAGTTAGAAGGCCTGGGTACTTCTGCCACTAATTTAAGTGACCCCTTAGCAAGTGATTTTATTTTTTTTGACCGTAAATAAATTTCTCAAAATTTCTTCCACCTTTAAAATGTTATGGTTCTATTAAATTTATATAGGGGAAAAAAACACTTTAAATAAAGATTATTCTTTCAATAGAGGTGGAAGTTTTTGTTGTTGTTCTCAACTTTTCAATTTTAATTAGGGTACACTGCATGAATAAGATTCTTTGTAGCATTATCTAAAGCCAAGCACTGATTTATTTGAAAACAAAGGGTTTCTTTGCAGTGTCATTTAGCTTGGCATTGCCATGAATCCAAGAATTATTCCACAGGAATCAGAGAACAGTAATGCAGTTGTACTTAAATTTAGAGTTCCACATAGCCATTCACCAGACATGAATTGAGGTGAACAATTACATCTAACTTAATTTGCAAAAGTTCTAAAATGTGCTGGTGGAATTCACTGCAGGAATCACAGTAAAAAGCAGTTTGAAAATGTGGCTTAGATCTTGCAAAGCTGTTGGAGAAGCTGTCACTGCTTTTTGCTGTATTTGTTTTCAGGATTTCTATTAAAAATTAATGATAATGTAAATTTTAGGAGCATTTTTACTATTTTGAAATGATGTGTGGTGTGGTTGTTAGAGTATGGATCAGCATGGTTGGTCATATTGTTTTTAAAGGAAGACAATGATTGGCTTCAAATAATCTCTATGGAATCTTATTTATATAGTATACTTTGTTTAAAAATTGTTAAAATTGTGAGAACCAAAAAAAAGTTTTTCCAATTCTTTGCATATCTGTTTGAAGTTTCCTGGGAAAACTAGGAGGCAAATCATCCTGTGGTTTTGTTTTGTTTTGTTTAATGTTAAGGTCTTACTTTAAAGTTCACTTATCCTGATTTTATATATGCTGTTTATGTATATAATTCAGTTTTAAAAGGAGAGAAAAGTGGATGACAAGTTGCAAAACAAGAACTTAGGTAATGGATGGTGGTTATGAGTCACTATGGTTTATTGTGTAAGTATGTACAAAGATAGAAGAATCTGTCAGATGTATAGCTCTTAAAATGACAGAGTTCCCAAATCCTTAGTGAAAAAGATGGTGTATATGTTTAATGGAAGTCTCTTCTCATGCACTTTCTAATCATTAAAATATAAGGCTTAAGCTTGGATCACATGGAGAAGGTTTCTGGGTAAGTGATTGTGTTGAAAACTATATGTTGATTGGGTAATTCGATACCTCCCTGATTAGCATTTGCTTGTAAGCCCTTATAGGACCCACAAGGTCTGGCCCTCTTCTAGTGGACAATATTAAGTAGACTATCAGACTTATTTTTTATGGGTGAAAAAGCAAGAAGCACTTTCCCATTTCATCTGAGATAGCAACAGACTTAACATTTTGAGCTTAAAAAGCCATTTCTTTTATATATTTATTTTTCAATATCATTAAAGTTCACCAGTCAGGTTTCTATTTTGATGTTTCTCCCAAGATTAAAGAAGAATGCATCTTTGGACTGTGACATTTAATAGAATCTTTATCAAACGTTGATGTATGTAAAAGTAGAGTACCCCCTTAAAATTTATGTTATAAGATGGTCATGGACGGAATGAATGTCATTGACAGGCATTGTTATGTATAAAAGCAGGTTGGCTCTATTTTCAGCTCTTGTAGAAATTATACTTCACAGTGATTAAGAGTTGAGGTTCTAAGTTCTGCTGGTTAGCTCAGTTGTTTAAAGCATGGCATTGTAACACCAAAGTCAAGGCTTCAGATCCCCTTACTGGCCAACAGCCAGGAAAAAAAAAAAAAAAATGGGGGCTCTGGACTTACCTAGATCCCAGTTAAGATGATGGTTCATCCATCACTTATAAATTAGTTTCTTCACCTGTAAAATAGGCATAGTAATGTGCATGGAAATGTGAATACCTCATAGTGTTGTTATTAAGTTTAAAATAAATAATACGTAAAGCATTTAATACAGTGCTTGTGATATAGTAGGCGCTCAATAAATGTCAGTAATTAATATTCTTAAAGGATAAAATTTTATAGCCTTTATTTCTCTGTTAATTACTTAAAACAAGACATATAGCACAACTTTTCTTTCACTGAGTCCTAAGAATCTGTAAGGAAGAATTCTGGATAATAGCAAAGAAAGGAGGATTCTGTAGCGATGACTGAAAGGATAAGTGCTATATACCCAGGTGTCTGACTTGAGTCCGTTGCCCTATCTTTGGGTGACGCTAGCTCTCCATGGGCGATTAAAGCTACTCTTCATGGTTTTATATACAGCTTGTGCTGATGACTCCCAAGTGCATGGTTCCTACCCTGACCTTTATCCTTTACCCTTCAGACTGATATGTCCAATTGCCTTCTACTAGATAACTAGCGTCATATAGTGCCAATACACAGGCAGTTTAGATTCAACATGTATAGAACAAAATACATATATTCTCTACCCTCCTCCTGATGCCCCACCCCCACTTTTCACCAATTTCATTTTCCTTTTACTGATCCTGTTCAATTTATGGTCTAATCATTCACCCAGAAACCTGAGAGGCATTCTAGACTTCTTGGTCTCTTTTCTTGCCTGCATCCTGTCGTTTATCAGGTCTGTCCCAACAGTTCCATTTCACTGTAGCCTCTTGAGGTCCTCATTGTCTTCTGCTTCTTTCAGTGGCCCCCTCTTAAGTGATTCCTCTATACCCAGTTTTGACATCCCCCCGACCATACATATTCCATATTGTTTCTAAAGTGTTCTGAAGTGCAGTTCTGACTATTGTCATTGCTGTGTATAAATACCTTCTCATTTCCTCCACGATCAGGTCCAAGATCCTTTGCATGGCTTGTCGTGCTCATTGTGATCCTTTGACTTCTGTTTATCTACCAGCATCCCCAGGCTCATGTTCTCAGCTTTAACAATTAATTCTTAAAGAAAGAATTAAAGAATTAAAGAAGTAGTAATTACTTCTACACACTATGCAAATGCACTCCTAGTTCTCTCTTTCAGATATCTTTCTGTGTACTCTTGCAGCCCATGAGGAAGTCTTGGGATCCCTGGAGACACATTCAGCAGACCTCTACTCATCTCCAAAGGTGGAGTCATAGTTGTTACTAAAATTACTTATTGCTATGGAAGCACCTAACAAAGTAAGAAAAGAATAAGAAAAATGTGATTTGGTTCTATGAAAATAATACTAAGTTGTCATTTTATATGTATTCTTTCCCATTTGCACTTAAGCATCATAGACTCCCCATACTGTACCAGAATACTGACACACTAATGTGGCTCAGCTCTCAACAGTTTTTATCCATTTCACTATATGTCAGGTTTTAGTGTATGACTTTTTTTTTTTATCATAATAAAGCATAGCTCATAGAACATAGTAAAACCTCAAAAATATGTTTGTGGAGTTAATGAATACTAAAGTCTGTTCATGCTGCTCACACCTTAAAAAACAAGCTGAGGAAAAAAATTTCCCCATTCTAACTTGCATATTAGAAGAGACTAATCTTTTCAAAGCCCTATTTTAATTGCATGCCTACCTTTCTTAACCCACAATAGCTCTTTATAAATTCAAGTCCAAACTCCTCACCCTGCCTTACCTACCTATTCAGCCTAATTTGGGGCAGCTCTTCTGCAGAATCATTCTGTACAGTTAGATCAGTTTACTTAATAGGCAGAGTGAGCAGGCAGTATGGATTGGTTGTTCCTGCCTGGAGCAGATTTTGACTTTTCATATCTAGGCTTTAGCATCAGAGTGTTGACTTTAAAATTACATGTTGCTGTACTAAACAAAGCTTTGTATTTACCAAATATTTCTTGAATGCCCACAGGGCTAGGCGCTGTACCAGTGGATGGGGATTTGGTGATAATCAAAATCAGCATAGCCTCTGCCCTCATGGAAGTTATGGTCTAATTGTGAAGACAAATAAACAATTAGAATGTAATGTAAAAAGTGCTAAGATAGGGGAAGTGCCACAGCAAGGCCACCTAACTCAGCTATGGGATCAGGGAGGGCTTCTCAGGCTCAGTAACATCTAGCTTGATGTCAGTCAACGGGAAGTGCATTACAGGTTGAGAAAACAGCAAGTGCAAACGCCCAGTGGGGAGAGAGCCCAGAACTCTCAAGAAAGTGAGAGAAGTTTCTTAAGGCTGGATATCAGACTTAGAAGATCATGAAGGAAGGAAAGGATATCTCTTTGTTCTATCAGGGACTTGCTTGCTCTTTTCCTCAGGGTCTGAACTGTTCAAATCAATTTATTCTTTTCTTTCATGGAAGTTTGAGGAGTAAAAAAACATCAAAATGAATGAAACCAACTTCTCTTGGTTTGCTGACCACTCAGCTTCATTTCTGGCCACATGTTATGTTTTTAATTTATGTAATTTTCTATGCATATAGAATTAATGAGTAAATTATAGTGAGATAATGTAGACATCACTGCGGTTTACTGGCATCTTCTCTCCCCTTCCATTCATCCTTGATGTCCATGGCTGTTAGAGTAACATCGGAATCCAGAGCGGAGTTGTTAAGCCTTCTGCAGTTATTCTCCAATGTGACTCTCTGTCCTCAATTTCTACTCCTCTCTTTTATCCAGACTTTCCTTTTTCTCTGCACACCCTTTGTTTTCCTGCTTTTGAGCCTGTCCCTTACCTTTACCTGGAACAGCCTTCTTTCCATTCACTGCCTATCAAAATACGATCCTTTCTTGAAAGCGCTGTTCAAATACTTCTCTCAAGTGTCTGCTTTTCTTGCCATCCTCCCTGCCTTCTTCAATTCTCTACTCCACAGTGTTTTATTTTTTTTTCTTTTTAATAAAACATGCCATAGTCTTTTGCAGTGTTTTTTAAAATGTGGGTTGCAACCCATTAGTGAGTCATGAAATCGAGTAAGTGGGTTGTGACCAGTATTTAAAAGCCTGGAATAAAAACGAACAGAATAGAAAATATAAAAATATGTCGTACATAAAAAAAAAAAGAAAAGGGTAATAGTGTTTCATGGTGCTTTTTTTGTACTACTGGCTCACCATGTAGAATCGATTTCTTACTATAGATCTTGGTCAAAAAAGTTTGAGAAACACTGGTCCACAGTCTATCTATGGATCAGCTCCTCAAATAGGTTATGTTACATGAAGACAGGGACATCTCACTCTGGCTTGAAATATTCCACGCTTCCCACTTCATGCGGTATCTAGTATCATTCATTGTAAATGCTGATTTTCTTTGAACTAGTCTCTAATTCTTCCTAAATACTGTTAACAGCCTTGCCATAAGTTTTTCCACATAGTCAAATGTGGCAGATCGGAATCTCAGTTCCATTTCTCCCCCTGGAAATCTTCCTCTAGGAGTCCTCCATCCTCCAGTTCCAGTCTGGGATGCTGCTGTACAGTTGTCATTCTGGGAATTCTCTTTGCCTATTACCTGGGCTGGATCGCTTGCTGTTTCTTTTTTTGCTTATTCTGTTACTGTGGTAGAGCACATACATAGTCTAGTATCTTCCTGAGAAGACGTACATGAAGGTAATTTTTTTAACCTTATATTGTCTGAAAATGCCTATATTCTTTCTTCACATTTGAGTGATAGTTTGGCTGGTGATAGAACTCTGGTTGAAAATTGTTTTCCTCCAGACTTTTAGAGACATTACTACGTTGTCTTCTAGTTTGCACTATTGCTGTTAAGAGGCCATGCCTTTCTTATTATTGGACTTTGTTTATGACCTGTTTCTTTCTCTCTGGAAGTTTTTAAGATCTTCTTTTTATACCTTCTGTTCTGAAGTTTTACAATGATTTTACTTGTGAGAAAGGGCCTTTCTTCAGCCATTGTGTTAAGTATGCAGTGGACCTTTTAAATCTAGAATTTATGATATTATTTCTTATGATATCATCCTCACTGTTGTTGGATGAAATTATCAAACAAATAATTTTCTCTCTAGATCTTTGATTAGTTGTGTGTTGGGTCTTTTGGATTGGTCCTCTAACTTTATTTTCTGCTATTTTCCCTGTTGTTTACTTATTGGTGTTTTTGTTCTATTTTCTGCAAGACTTTATCAATTTTACCTTCCAACTTTTTTTTTTTTTGGTGGCTGGCTGGTATGGCCATCCAAAACCTACTAACCTTTCCATCAAACTTTTTGTTTTAGCCATCGTTTTCAGTTTCCAAGAGTTCTTTCATATTCTCTAATTGTGCTTTTTTATTATTTTATTTTTTAAAAGCTTCTCATTCTTGTATCATGCATATAATATCTTCTATCTATATGAAGGTATTTTGGGTAGATAAAAACCTTTTGTTTATTTCTTGCATTCTGTTTTCTGTTTTTATTTATTCTACTTTGTCTCATGTTTTTTGTTTTTCTTTGGTTCTTTATGTTCATACCAGCCAGCTGCCAAAGAAACAAACAAAAAAGAGACTTTTCTCGAGTGCCTGGTGATTATTTAAAAGTGAGATACTAAAAGAATACATTAAAAACTGAGTACAATGGGCCGGCCCGGTGGCGCACTCGGTAGAGTGCGGCAGCGCGAAGGGTTCGGATCCCATATAGAGACTGGTCCGCTCACTGGTTGAGCGCGTGCGGGCGCGACACCGAGGGTTGCGATCCCGTTGCTGGTCGCGGTACGGGCGTGACACCGAGGGTTGCGATCCCGTTACCAGTCACGAAAAAAGACAAAAAGGAAAAAAAAAAAAACTGAGTACAATGGGCCGGCCCGGTGGCGCACTCGGTAGAGTGCGGCAGCGCGAAGGGTTCGGATCCCATATAGAGACTGGTCCGCTCACTGGTTGAGCGCGTGCGGGCGCGACACCGAGGGTTGCGATCCCGTTGCTGGTCGCGGTACGGGCGTGACACCGAGGGTTGCGATCCCGTTACTGGTCACAAAAAAAGACAAAAAAAGGGAAAAAACAAACAAACAAACAAACAAAAAACTGAGTACAAGTTTTGTGTATCTGGATGGGACTTTTTCTTAGTCTGTTTTTTCCTGCTATAACAGAATACCTGAGATAGGGTAATTTATAAAGAACAGAAATTTATTTCTCACAGTCTGGAGGCTGGGAAGTCCAAGATCAAGGTGCTGGCAGGTTCAGTGTCTGGTGTGGTCCCTGTCTCTTTGCATCCAAGATGGTGCCTTGAATACTGTGTCCTCCAGAGGAGAGGTACCCTCATGAGGCAGAGCCATCATGACCTAAACACCTCCCATTAGGATCCACCTTTTGCATTGGGGATTATGTTTCAACATGAGTTTTGGAGGGGACAAAAACATTCAAACCATAGCAGACTTACTAAAGGTGAGATAGCTTTTTTGATGGGGGCCATCACAGATTGCACCAGTGATTGTTTTCTCTAAGACCATTCAGTTTTTCCAGAGAAGAAGCCTCTCTCCTCTTGCCTGTTGTGCCAAATTCTGGGCTTTTTTCCTGATTCTTTAGAATAGGTCAGCTCACTGCTGTCTGCTGTCCCTCTGTAGGCCCTTAGGTTTCACCTTTTACCCCTCCGCCCATTTCCCACTCTTCCATTGGCTTTCTGTTTTCAGATAGTATGGATTTTGTCTTTCCTTTTGTGTTTTCCTTCTCTTTTTGAGAGGAATTCTAAGAGAAAGTAAGGGTGAAACGTCTTTATGCCAACAGTTTAAAACAAGAAGTCCTTCCTAATCTTTTCAATTGGCGAGTTTCTCCATATACATCATTGAAAATGGAGGGAATATGCTAATGTTTCTCCTACAGAGGGATGTTGAGAACTACTTAATCAATGTTATTGCTTTTATGAAGATGAAATCCTTGTGGAAGTATTCGTTGGCATGCTGTTTTGCAGAGGGCATAGAAAGTATGCTAAATAGATTTTAAATTACCTTCTAGGGTTTCCCATTTCAAAAAAACAAAGGTTGTTTTTTTTCCATGT